CGATTTGATAGTTACGGTTTAATGAAGTAAGACTCTAATAATAATAATATCAGAGTAATTTATCCATAATTACATTAAGGTGAATATCATTTAATTACGTTTAAAACGATTTGATAGTTACGGTTTAATGAAGTAAGACTCTAATAATAATAAATCAGAGTAATTTACCCATAATTACATTAAGGTAAATATCATAATTATTCATAATAATATTAAGTTGGTTGTGTATTGTTTGCGTGTAATCCACTCTAAAAAGAAACAAATAGTGGATCATTGCGTTGGCTTTTCTCCTTTGTTGTTTTATGGGTAAAATTTTTGGTTTTATCAATACCTCTGTGTCCAAGAAAGAAAATTTGTCTTTACTCTTTAAAACGTAACATAATATACTACTAATATATATATTCATAGCTATAGAAACAAAGAACTAATTACAGCATTTCCTTGATTTACACTAATCAACAAGTCAACACTCCAAGAAAAGAGCAAAAAAAAGATGTGGATTTTTGGAAGGAAAGGAGGATCTGGATTTTCAGCTTCTTCTACTGCCGAAGAAGTTACTCAAGGAATTGATGCTACTGGCCTCACTGCCGTTGTTACAGGTTCATCACCTTTTTTTTTTTGAAGTATTTTTTTATTTCTTCAATACCCATTATTCCAATGTTTTGATTGACCAATTTGGTATCTGCTTTCTTTAGTTTTTTTTTTTTCTTTTTTCTTTTTCATTTGACTCTATTATTTTTTTTTTATTATCTGTATACTGTATTAGTTCTCCACTTATTGTTTGTGGTGAAAGGAAATATGTTGAACTGTGCCTGCTACTTTAGTTTGTTATTGTTGCAAGAGGTCGTGGAAGCCTCACATAAATGCAGGGTAAAGCTGCATCCTTATGGACCTGCGCATAACGGAAGCTTAGTGCACCAGACTGCAATTTTATTGTGTTTGTTGATATAAACTCGGTCCGAGTTTCCAAAGCATGGTTCTTTTTTAACCCGGATAAAGGAGGAGGGTTGTGGTAAATTGATGGCCAATGTAATAATTGTCCAATATGATATGAAAAATCCTCTGAATTAATTTTGCTGGACGTGTTCGATATTCAATGAAAGTGGAATGGATAGAGAGGATTCATATAACTGAGTCTAACTAGCTCAGGAATGAGGTGTAGTTGATTGACTGTATTTATTGATATAACTATTAGTAGAAGTTAAATGTGAATATCAATGGCAAGCGATGATCATTTCAAATTAATTAATGGAGTTCCAAAATGAAATCTTTCTTCCTTGTTGACATTTCTCTTTTCGAGACTGCAACTAGATGGTAGTAATTTGTCGCTGACATGGGAGTCCAAAATTTTTATGTTGTTTCATATTGAAGAAATATCTCAGAATTTGCAACTTATATCGCCCGTTTGGGAAAGAAGTCATCTCATCTCCCAAAAATTCCATGAAAATGTTAGAGAAAGAGTGAAATCACTATCTTTCTTGGATGGAAGACCTCCTATCTACTTTGCTTTTACTTCTCATAACTAGCAAGAGTTCAAAAATCTATTTGTTTCAAGAATAAGTTTATATTTCAGTAGAGTTTCATATTGCTTTTCGTGCATTTAAGAGGGTCACTTTGAATTTGGATGATTGCCTCTCAATTACTTACTAGCATGTGCAATGCAAGCTGAACGAAGGCTTATTTTTGTCCGGATCTTTAAATTTTCAGGAGCATCAAGTGGTATTGGTGCAGAAACGACGCGTGTCCTTGCAATGCGTGGCGCACATGTAGTAATGGCAGTTCGCAATGTAAAAACTGGCGCAAAAGTTAAAGAAAGTATTCTTAAAGAGATTCCTCCTGCCAAAATTGATGTAATGGAGTTGGATCTCAGTTCTATGGAATCTGTTAGGAAGTTTGCATCAGAGTACACCTCTTCCAGCTATCCTTTGAACATCCTAATGTAAGAAAACATTCCTTTAACTGAATTAGTGGCAGAATGCACAATCATAATGGATTTTTGCGTTCATCCTGGCATTGCTTGGAATGAGCATCTTGGTCACTATGCGTTCCATTCTTATGTGTGAATATTAAAAAATAAAATACTTCCTTTTATTTTTGAAGCAATAATGCAGGGGTTATGGCTCCGCCATTCATGCTTTCTCAAGACAACATTGAATTGCAGTTTGCAACTAATCATCTAGGTAAATGAGTTTATTTCTTATGTCTGTTTAACATATCTTAGTTAATGGGAGAATATTCACATTCATGAAGAATTTTCACAATACATAGTCATTCCTTGACATGGTAGTTGGTACAATACACGGACCCTTTCTCAAGATTTGACATTTTATCATTTTGTTTTACTATTATTTTATGAAAATAGCATAATGGTGAGAGGTATATTCGTTGGCTTGTAGACGAGCTTTTTCATTAAGTTGAGCTTCTTGCTTCCATACCAAGGCTAGTTAGTGTTTGGGTCTTAGAAGAGAGGAGGTTCTATGTTTGATGTATCTTATGGCTACACTTTTTAACCTACAAAGTCCTTTATACTCAAGAGTGGGTTGATCTAGTGGTAAGCACCCTCCACTTCCAACCAAGAGGTTGTGAGTTCGAGTCACCCCAAGAGCAAGGTGGAGAGTTCTTGGAGGAAGGGAGCCGAGTGTCTATCGGAAACAGCCTCTCTACCCCAGAGTAGGGGTAAGGTCTGCGTACACACTACCCTCCCCAGACCCCACTAGTGGGATTATACTGAGTTGTTGTTGTTGTTGTTGTAAAGTCCTTTATACTCAGATATTGCGTCGAAACCTTTATGACTATAAAAGGTGAAACTGCTGCCTATTGTATAACCAGTGTTTTAACGATATCAGTCTAAGAATGATCCACCTAACTTCGGGGAGATCATTCTTTTTTTAAATTATTATCTAAAATATTACGTTCTACCAATAAAAAAGAGACTGATCTTCTTGAAGTTACCCTGGCTTTATTAGTCAATAATCTCATGTGTACAGCCGTGTGTGTTTTGTTCTCTTGGACTTGTTATGCACTAATAGGATGGTTTCAGGTTGAAGTACCGCCAATATAAGAAGACTAGTATTGTTTGTGCAGGTCATTTTCTTTTGACAAATCTTTTGCTAGAGAACCTGAAAAATACAGCTCAACAGAGCCACAAAGAAGGAAGGATTGTTAATGTTTCATCAATGGGACATAAGTTTACATACCGTGAAGGAATTCGCCTTGACAAAATCAACGACAAAGATAGGTAATTCATGGCTGCCCTCTTCATATTCTTACTAATGTTCAATTTTTCTTTGCTTTGATATTTACACATCTTTAATGATAAAACATTGACCTAGCTAAGTTTTAGAGTCTAAAAAATGAATTGTAATATGAAGACTGGGTCTAAAGGTGGGGCTATATGTTGCTTTTGATTAATTTAGATTTAGGTTATTTATCAAAAAGAAAAGAATGTGGCAAGTTAAGTTTTTGGAAAGTATACATTATTTTGGCAAAATCCAAAATAGAAACCATATTAATTTCCTTGTTCTACCTTTTACTTTTCTTGCTATACTTGGTTTTGCAATGTTCTATGTTATTGTCAATGCTTCAAGTTTTTGTACTTCAGATTTGTTGGTTGGCGAATATATAGTTTTCAGTTTTATTTAACAACCTGTTTTGAAAGTAGAGCAGTATAAAACTGCAAATTATAACAGGAAAACAGAATGAAGAACCAAATACAACACATAAGATTCAGGATCTGGCAGTGGATCTTTCTTTGAACAAGAGATTTGACGATAATTATTTGTCTATTTCCAGTTACACTTCTTGGTATGCTTACGGACAATCAAAGCTTGCTAATATCTTACATGCTAATGAACTTGCAAGACGTTTCAAGGTAAACTATTGTCTTCTGGGTATTGAAGCTTCTCTTTACTTCAGCGACTGGTAACCAACTGAACATTTTAACATCCAGAGGAAACATTTAATTATATCAATTTGATCTTATGTCCATGTCTAGGTTCTTTTTCCGAGTGACAATTTGAAAGTGGCATTATTATTAAAAATATTTTAAAAAATAAAAAAATAAAAAAATGGAATTATTGTTTAATTTACTAAAAATGTACATTTCAACAGTTCCCACCATTTATGTTCAAGTTTTAGTTTTTCATTGATCATCATCCTGTTACCCAAGTGTAGGAACTAAGGGATCGTTTGGTACGCGGGATAAGGTGTGGGATTAAATTTATACTTTGTTTGGTTGGCAGTGATAAATTTATACCGTCAACCAAACATGGTATAAATTTAATCCCAGACTTAGAGCCTATTTGGATGGGCTTAAAAGCTGGTCAAACCAGCTTTTAACTTGTGGAAGTGTTTGGCAACAAAAAAATGGGCTTAAAAAAAGTTAAAATCTGCTTAAAAAAAGCCAAAATCAATAAGTTGGAAAACCCAACTTTTTCTAAATTGGCTTAAAAGTCATATTGCTTTGACCAAGGATATTACATTCTTATCCCTTATAATTTTTAAAAATCCCGAAATTACCCCCAAGTAAAAACCCTACAACATACAATTTTTTTTTCTCCATTCTCCAATATTTGTCAATTTCTTGAAGTTCTTAACGTGAAGCAAACAATAGTTTTTTAAATAATGTTTGATACATTCTAATATTTTGTAAATATTGTTCTTTTGGCTTCTTTTTTTGTTCCATAACATTTAATACTTTTGGTCGTTGAATCCTTCCTTTTTTTTTTAATTGGTGTAACTATATTCTAAAATCAAATCATTCAATGAATTTACGTGTTACCCCGGAATTTGAAGCTATGAATGGAAAATATAATATTATAGTCATCATCTTCTTTATAATGTTAACAACTTTAAGGATATTTCAGTCATTTTAACAAGAAAAAATGCTTACCAGCACTTGTTTACCAAACACTTCATCAGCTTGTTTTAAGTTTCAGCACTTTTATCCAAACACGTAATTGCTTATTTGTCAAACAAGTTCCAGCACTTATAAAGTGCTTTTAAGCACTTAACTTAAAAGCCACTTTTTTAAGCCAATCCAAACGGGCCCTTAATATTGGATATTCCATCTTATTCCACCTTATCCCATTAAATTAGGGATTATTTTATACCACCTCTCCCAGGTGGGATAAATTAGTCCAGGGATTATAATCCCGATATAATTTAGTCCACGTACCAAATGACCCCTAAAGGAATTCGTGAAAGAAGACCTTGCATCTATCCAAGTACATTATTCTTTGCCTTATTTTCGAGCCCCTTTCCTTAAGCTGGGGGGCAGCATGTTGCTAAGTTCTAGCTATAGATTTTGGTTCATTCTTGATATCCTGGGAGTATCACAGATTCTTGTATCCTGTGCATCATTTTATGCAAAAAGATTAGTTAATTTGAAATTGTTTTCCGAATAATGACACAACCAAAGAAATGTTCATAGACAATTAAGCGACAGTTTCCTCATTTGAATGATGAAATTGTTCTTGTGTCTCAGTAAGAGTAGATGACAAGTTTTTCATCCATCATGTAAATTCATTTAGTAAAGGTCAAATGGTCAATGCCACATGTTCGATGTGAGTTTTCCCATGTGTTCGATATCTTGCAGTTTTGCATTGCACCCTTAAAAGATTAAAAAAAACATAGAGTAGAATAAGAGGGAAGAGCCTGTATGCAGGTGTGAGGAATGGTGAGAGCCATTAGAAGTGCATCTTCCTGAGTAGCTTCTCAGCCTTCAGTCACTTGTTGGAAATTACAAGGTGAACCAATTGCATTGGTCGTTTAACTTGCCTAGAACCGAGTGTATTCTTAATAACCTTCCAGAAGAATTCTCATAGTTCTACTTAGTTTTGTTATTTGTTTTATTTGGTCAGTTATTGCAAAAAAATTGTAGTTTTCATTCCTGAACTGGCTCCTAGGACAATTTGGTACAATATGTACATGAGTGACCATGCTAGGCCGCACTTTCAGACCCGCTAATCACGACTTTTTTGAGAATGGTAACATTTGTATTAATAAAAGTGCACTAAGGCAGTGCATAACCATATGTACATGGAATAGTAGATCAATCTCGATCTACCTAATTACAAAAAGCCTAACATGTCTACTAGAGATTTCTGTATCCTCTATAAGACTTTCTTTACACCAAAAATGAAATAGAAGAATACAGTCCATCTTGACATCTTGAACGGATTTGTATCTGTCTTCAAAACTCTTTGAGTTTCTCTCCTTCCATACTGTCCACCATATGCATGCAGGTATCAGTTTCCACCATGTCTTTTGACTCACTGAGTCTCCAGTATTGTTCCTGGAACATTTTAGTAACTCAACAGTAGTAGCTGGCATAGACCATCTTAGCCCAACAATGTTAAGGAACAATTGCCACAGTAGAGTAGTAATAGGGCAGTGAAGGAATAAGTGGCTGTTTGTTTCCAATTCTCTGCCACATAAAACACATCTAGAGCAAAGTTGGAATCCCCTCCTTTTGGTTCTCTTGAGTTAAGCATACTTCTCTTGCTACCAGCCATGTGAAACAAATCACCTTATAAGGAGCTTTAACTTTCCAGATACTCTTCCATGGCCAACCTTCTATGTGACGACCAGTGTTTGACAACAAAAGATAAGCTGCTTTGGCAGTATACATCCCATTTTTACCATTGTTCCAAATAAGAGAATCCTCATGTTCTTTAAGACCTTGGAAAGCTTCCAAAGTTGTAAAAAACTCGGCAATTCTCCCAAGCTCCTAATCATTCAGACTTCTTCTAAAATTGATGTTCTAACCATGTTGTCCCCAAGCTGCTTCCATTCTAAGATCAAGCACCGTAGCAATGCAGCAAAATTCAGGGAATAGTTCTTTTAGCGGACCATGTTCTAGCCAATTATCATTCCAAAACAATGTCTTCCTTCCATTTCCAACCTTTATGCTAGTGTTGCACAACATAGAATTACAGAACTTCCTGATAGTTTTCCAAACTCCCACTCCATAAAGAGTATTAACTGGTGCACACACCACTGATCCAACTGGCCATACTTCTCATATATGACCTTCTTCCATAGAGCATTAGTCTCTAGTTGATACCTCCACAACCACTTCATGAGCAGACTCTGATTGTGTGCCTTTAAGTTCCTGATACCTAGACCCCCTTCTCTTTTGCTGGTAATGAGTGAGTCCCACTTAACTAAGTGAATGACTCTTGTCTCTATTGCCCCGCCAGATAAAATTCCTCCTTGCTGCATCTATTCTTTTTCTCACCTTAACTGGAATAGGAAAAAGGACATGACATGTTGGAAGTGCATCCAAAACAGAATTCACCAAAACTACTCTACCTCCCAGAGATAAATATTGGCTCTTCCAAGTTTTTTTTGATAAGGTAAATTGTATTAATCAAAAGGGAGAAAAAACTCCCGTATACAAGAAGTATACCAAAAAGTAGAGAATTTACATCAGAACATGATTCTCTATAAAAGACGCCCAATCTTCTACACAAGTAGGGGCTATATGTGTGCACCAAAAAGCGATCAAAGATAAAAGACTATTTATTAAGATGTGAAAACGGAGACTCAATCACCTCGAAAACTCTCATATTTCTCTCTCCCCAGACTATCCACATGAGAGCTAACGGGGCGAACTTCCACGCCTTTTGCTTGCTTCTTCTACGGAAACCGACCCAACTATATAGCATTTCCTTTACAGTATTTGACATCACCCATTGAACACCAAAAAGATTCAAGATTGCCCTCCACAAACCGGGCAATGCAGCAAGAGATGATCAGNCCCCCCCTTCATGCTTCTTGCGAATCTGTTGGACCATCAATTCCTTTTGGTTTGAAACTTTGAAGACGTGGGGAAAGAGACCCTTAGAGTATTCTCTCCACACCACCTGTGATTCCAAAAGCTGATTCTCCTTCCATCTCCCGCCCTGTAAGTGATGTTGCCATAGAAAGCTTCCCAGTTCTTCATGATGTTCCTCCACATGCCGCACCCGAACGGTGCTGTGATTGCCTTGGTCCTTCAACCCCCTCCCGTGGAATTGTACTTTTCTACTATGACCTCCCTCCATAGAGCATGCTTTTCTACCCCGAATCTCCACAGCCACTTCCCTAACAAAGCTTTGTTGAATATCCTAAGATCTTTTACTCCAAGTCCACCCCACTTCTTTGGGGAAGTGATTGTCTGTCAATTCACTAGATGAAACTTTCTAGTTCCATCCGCCGCATCCCAAAGAAAATTCCTTTGAAGCCGTTCCAGTTTTTCTGTGATGCTCATATGAGCTTGCAACAAGGACAAGTAATAGGTAGGGATACTCGACAAAGTGCTTTTGATAAGCACTTCCTTACCGCCTTTTGACAAGTACCGTTTCTGCCAGCCTGCTAATCTTTTTTCAACCCTTTGAATGACTGGATTCCAAACCGTAGTATCCTTATGCAAAGCGCCCAATGGTAGACCCAGGCAAGTAGTGGGAAGAGAGCCCAACTTGCATTCGAGAACGTGAGATAAAACATCAATGTTAGCAACCTCACCCACCGGGAAAATCTCACACTTGACGAGGTTGATTTTGCGTCCTGATACTATCTGAAACCACTGCAGTACCTGCTTCAAGCAGGTCAACTGATCCATATCGGCATCACAGAAAACCAGGGTGTCATCCGTAAAAAGCAAATGAGAGACTCTTCGGGCACTGAGCATCCCGATCGGAGCTGGGAATCCTCTCTAGAAGCCTCCACCCGCCGCACGATCCATCATTTTACTCAGAGCATCCATCACTAAAATGAATAGCATGGGGGATAGGGGATCAACTTGCCTGAGATCCCTGGAGCTGCCAAAGAAACCACACGGGCTACCATTAACCAGGACAGAAAATCTGACCGAGGAAATGCAGAACTTGATCCATCCCCTCCATCTTTTCCCAAACCCCATCCGCTTCATAATGAAGTCCAGGAACTCCTAATTGACATGGTCGAAAGCCTTTTCAAGGTCCAACTTGCACAGTAAGCCGGGTTCTCTATTTTTTTTTCTGGAGTCTACAAGTTCATTTGCCACCAGAGCAGCATCCAGGATCTGCCTACTTTCCACAAACGCATTCTGGGAGGACGAAACAGACACGTTAAAAACCTTCTTGAGTATGTTGGAGAGCACTTTAGAAATAATCTTGTAAATGCTCCCCACGAGACTATAGGCCTGTAGTCTCTGATACAAGATGCGCCTTCTTTCTTAGGCACAATAGTAATAAAAAAAGCATTGATACTTCTCTCGAAAGCACCATTCATGTGGAAGTATTCAATGGCTTCCATCAATTCCCCCTTAATGGTGTCCCAACAGAGTTGGAAGAAGGCCAAGGAGAAACCATCAGGCCCGGGGGCCTTATCACTGGCACAACTCGACATAGCATCATGCACCTCCTCCTTCTCAAAAGCTGTTTCTAGCCACTCACTGTCTCCCTCCCCTATGTGGTTGAACTCTATTCCCCCCAAAGTAGGCCTCCAACTAACTTACTCTTTGTATAAGTTCTCATAAAACCCCACTATCGCCCCCTTTACCTCCTCCTCTACCTCAATCCTCACCCCATCCATAACTAAGGACTCTATGATGTTTCTCCTTCGATTTGCAACCGCAACCCTGTGGAAAAACTTGGTATTCAAATCTCCCTCCTTTAACCAGAGCTCCCTTGATTTTTGCCGCCAACTAGTCTCCTGCACTATTGCTAACTCGACTATTTCCCTCTTAACTTCCCCCAATCTCGCTTTCTCAAATTCATCTAGCTCCGTCGCCCCTTCCCCTCTCTCTAATTCCCCCAATTCATGCATAAACTCCCTCATTTTGACCTCTACCTTCCCGTAGACCTCCTTATTCCACCTAATAATATCTCCCTTGAGCAATTTGAGTTTCTTCGACTGACGGAATGAAGGTAACCCTGATACCCCGTAGCTTGTCCACCATTCTTTCACTTTGTCACCAAATCCTGGCACTTTCAACCACATGTTCTCGAATCGGAAGGGAGCACGCACCCCCTCCCTCTGCATCCATCTAGCAAGATAGGCAAATGATCCGAAGTCAGCCTAGGTAAAGGAATCTGCAGCACATTCGGCACCAGCTCATCCCAGGAGCGCGATATGAAAAATCTATCAAGTCTAGACCTTGAGTTGGAATCCTCCGCCCTGGCCCATGTAAACCTTTCCCCTGACAGAGGAAGATCAACGAGAAAGTGATCATTGATGAAGTCAGAAAACTCCTCCATGTCCCTCGAAATCAGATTACACCCTAATCTCTCCTCCGGGAATCTAATAGTGTTAAAGTCTCCCCCTAGAACCCATGGAA